CCCAGGCTCCGGAAAGCCTTCCGTGCCTTCCCAGTTCAGCCACACCCTCAGGCTCACGAAGGGCCACCTCCATGGCAATTCTCTGAGGCCAGGACTGCCTAGGCCATCACCTCCATTTACAGGGGAGAGCCCTGTGCTTCAGAGATGGGAAGGCTTAGCCAAGGTCTGGCATACAATAAACACTTAATCAATGCTTGTTGACCGACTGACCGACTGCCTGCCTGCCAAACCAGCTGCCTCAGAAGGGTGGACGTGGAGCTTGTGTCTTGCTACACATGAAGCAGGCAGCCTTGGGGGCTCGATCTCCTCCTCTGAGCCTGACCGCTTCTGGTGCGTGTTTGACTCCCGAGCTTTGCTTCTGTTAGCGAGGCTGTCTCTCCCTCACAGTGGATCTGTTTGCCGGTTGGCTCCCTCTCTGATTTTCCCATCTGTCTATCACTGGCTCTCAGCGTCTGTCTTGTCCTGGCTCTGCCTACCATTCTCTGTCAGTCTTTCTTTGTCTAACTACTTCGCTGTGTTGTCCTTCTGTTCATCTGGAATAGCCTGAAGAGGGAGCCTGGCCAGGACCAGGTAAGCGACAGTTCCTCGGGCTCATTTATTCCCCCCCCGCCCCCCCCCCTTTCCGTCCCTCCCCTGCCCCTCCCCTGGAGTTCTGAATACACATTTTAAGAAGGATGTTGATACGGGGGAGAGTGTCCCAAGGAGGGCAGCCAGGATGGTGAAAGGCCTTGTGAGGCCTAGCTGAAGGACGGGGGCATGTTGGAGAAGCCTGGGGGCAGGGAAGGAAGGAGACACATTTAGTAAACACCTACTGTGTACCAGGTGCTGCCTCACATACTTTACAACTATGGTCTCTTTTGATCCTCGCAACAGCCCTAGGAGAGGAGTGTTATTATTATCATCCTCATTACAGTTGAGGAAACTGAGTCAGACGGTGGTCTTGTCCAAGGTCACAGAGCTACTAAGGACTCGTGTTTGAACTCAGAGCTTCCTGATCTTAGGTCCAGCTCGGCGAAATGTGGCGCCACCTCGTGGTTCTAGGAACATGCTGCCGTGGCTGCGTTCAAGCATTTCAGCGGTTTTCACGTTCGGAGAAGCCAGATTCCGCTTGGCCCCAGAGTGCAGAACCAGGACCCATGCCGGGAAGATTTGGGCTGGGCGTCAGAGTGGAAGGGACTGCTTTGGCTCTGGGATGGGGGGAAGAGGGGACACTGGCTAGCTCCTCCCCAGGAGGGCTGGCTGGGAGGCAGGGGTGATTTCCAGGTGCCCAGGATCTGGTCCTGCCTGTCCCCATTTCTCCACCATCCTCGATTTGGAAGACGCCCAGGCCCTTGCATGCGCTCCAGAGCAGTTCCTCCTGCACCTCAATTTTAAGGAGATGCCTCCCTCGGTCCAGTCCTGCTCTCCTAGCCCTCCCCTGCATCTCCAAACTTTGCCACTCCCCCCCCCTTGTTACCTCATACGCTCCCCTTCCCTTTCCACTCCCTTTTTGGTGTTATTTTCCCTGCATTAGAATAATGTAAACTTTCCGGGGACAGGGACTATCTTCGTTTTGCTGGTATTTGTGCTCCCTGCACTTAGCGCAGTGCCTCGAACATTGTTCAGTCATTTCACATTCTTTGAGGCCTTATTTGGGGTTTTCTTGGCAAAGATACTGGAGTGGTTTGCCATTTCCTTCTCCAGTTCATTTGACAGATGAGGAAACTGAGGCAAACAGAGTGAAGTGACTTGCCCAGGGTCACACAGCTAAAAAGTATCTGAGGAAAAATTTGAACCCAGGTCTTCCTGACTCCAGGCCCCACACTATCCACTGTGCCACCCAGCTGCCTGGTACACACATAGTAACCCCTTAATAAGTGCCTTGATCCCAGACTTTGCTATTCCTTCTGTCCATTACTTGGGAGCCCTTGTGCTGGGGAAGGCAATACCTTGGTGGGGCTGGGCAATGGTGAGACTGGTGTGGCTATGGCCAAATGGGAGAGGGTTAATTCTGTGGCCTGTGACATAGGAAGGGGCTCTGGGGCTGCCACCTTTCAAACTGAATCAAGAAATTTCTCTTGAGCCCAGAATGGGTGAGTCAAAAGTTTGATTATCACCTTCACTGCTGACAAATAAGGGCTAAACATGGGCACTGCATCTAAATGGGGCTCAGGGCTGGGAATGGGGGCTCAGGCAGAGAAACATAGGTTCATGTATTTAAATCTGGGAAGGACTTTAGAGGATTTTTACAGAGGAGGAAACTGAGGCCCAGAGAGATTGAGTGACAACTTTAATTGGGAGCCCAGGGAAGGTGATGGGGGTCAGTAAAAGAGGTAGGAGCTTGCTGTGAGAAAGAATGAGGGCTCAGGAAGAGAGGATGGGGGTTAAAGGTCACTGAGGGAAACGTGGTTAAAAGCAAGAATTGGTGTGGGGAGAGGCTCTGAAGTCGTTGAATCCAATCATATTTTACAGAGGAAGAAACTGAGTTTGAGAAGTGACATGACCCTTTGCACTTGTAGGCAAGTGGTGATAGTGCAGAGAGGAGAGGGAGATCAGTGAGAGGGGTGAGGGCTGGGTGTCAGGGGTGGGGGAGGGATGGAGGAATGAGCTCAGGATGAGCGGCTCTGGATAAGGCTGAGGATGAGGGAGGGAGGAGACTTAAGGACGGGGGAGAAATAAGGCTGAGGAGGATGGAGGGACAGGGCTCAGGGTGAGGGGAAAATGAGGCTCGGGATGAGAGAAGGATGAGGGAGGGATAGGGGCTCAAGATGAAGGGGGATAGAGAGGGGTCAGGATGAGGGAGAGATGAGATGCAGGGTGAAGGAGGGATGGGGCTCAGGCCGAGTGACTCAGGATGAGGGGAGAGGGATAAGGCTCAGGATGGGGGGAAATGAGGCTCGGGATGAGAGAAGGATGAGGGAGGGATAGGGGCTCAAGATGAAGGGGGATAGAGGGGTCAGGATGAGGGAGAGATGAGATGCAGGGTGAAGGAGGGATGGGGCTCAGGCCGAGTGACTCAGGATGAGGGGAGAGGGATAAGGCTCAGGATGAGGAAAAAGTGAGGCTCAGGATGAGGGAGGGATGGGGCTCAGGATGGGGGGAAATGAGGCTCAGAATGAGAGAAGGATGAGGGAGGGATGGGGGCTCAAGATGAAGGGGGATAGAGGGGTCAGGATGAGGGAGAGATGAGATGCAGGGTGAAGGAGGGATGGGGCTCAGGCCGAGTGACTCAGGATGAGGGGAGAGGGATAAGGCTCAGGATGAGGAAAACATGAGGCTCAGGATGAGGGAGGGATGAGGGAGGGATGGGGGCTCAGGATAAGTGACTTAGAATGAGGGGAGAGGAATAAGGCTGAGGATGACGGAGGGATGGGAGGCTCAGGATGGGGGATGCGGCAGGCTGAGTGTGGGGCTGGGGTTGCCCGTGGGGCGAGCGCCCCTCCTGGGCTACAGGCACAGCTGCGGCTCTTCCGTCCGGCCCTGATTGCGGAGCTGAGCAGCGTCGCCACTATCTTCGGGGAGGGGGTGGAGGGGCCGGCGGGGGCGGAGAAGCGCCTCCCTCTGCTCTAGCCGAGGCTCTGGGGCCCGGCCCCCGCCCCCGCGGCCGCCGCTCAGTCCCTGGTCCCCTGAACGGAGCTTACTGACGGGTGACAGGTCTTAGCGCCAGGGAGGGAGTCTTCGGGCAGCCCGGCGGGAAGGTGGGAGGGCTCAGCAGAAAGGGCGACAGAAGGGAGGAGGGAGAAGGGAGGAGGGAGGAGGGGAGCGGAGCTGGTTCTGCCGCAGACGGTCCGTCAGTCCACGGCTAGCTTGCTAACTGTCTCGGGGAGGGCACTTGCAGCCGCCAGCCCTGGGCTCCGGGAGGCCTAGGAGGCAAGGACTGAGGCCCAGGCACAAGCTCTAGACGTTGGACTCCGGGCGCCAGGGGTTGGGTGGGTTCGTTGAGGGGAATCAGCCGGCCTCCCCCTCCCCCCGTCGCCCCAGGATTAGGGTCCCTGAGGAGGATAGATCCTCCTTCACTGCTCGGGCATCTGTGAGTGTGTGTGTGTGTGTGTGTGTGTGTGTGTGTGTGTGTGTGTGTGTGTGTGTGTGCGCGAGCGCGCGCTCCCAGCTGGGGGCTGTCAAGGAGGATGTCACTGTGAGTGCACTTCTGAGAGTGTTGTGAGTGGGGAGGGGAAGTGCTGGTGTCACTGTTGGGAAGAGGGGAGGGCATCTTCTTGTGCGTTTGCTGAGGGATTGCGTGTGTCAAGGGATATGGAGATCTGTGTCTGAGTGTGTGCTGGTGTATTTGTATGGCTCACGGGGTTTTGTGTGTCTGGGGAGGGCATTGCCTGGATCAGAAGGTGTCATTGTGAGAGGTGTGTGTGTGTGTGTGTGTGTGTGTGTGTGTGTGTGTGTGTAAGGATGTCATTAGTGGATGTGAGTGTGGTTTTGTGTGCCAAATATGTAGACCATTGTGTCATTGTGTATCTGGGGACATTGGTGTGTATCTGACGGTGTTAGTGTGAGGAGTGTGTGTGTGTGTGTGTGTGTGTGTGTGTGTGTGTGTGTGTGTGTATGTGTGTGTGTGTGTAGAGACAGGCAGACAGACAGACAGAGACAGAAAAGGGAGGGGGAGATAAGACTCCAAAGTGATGGCAAGCAGGCAAAGGACCGCAAAGCCCTTTGGCAGCCAAGCTTGCTGTGGTTGGTGGGAGCAAGAGCACAGTGGGAGGGTTGATGGTGGCTGTGGTGCAGGCCTGGGGTGGCCAGCCAGGGCTGGGTGCTGATCACTGGACAGGGGAATAGGTAATGATGACCTCAGCCAGGGCTGAGGAGGCCTGGAGGTGGCTGGGAGCTCTTAAGAAAGGAGGAGATGGCCCCAGGGAGGGAAGGGAGTAGGGAGCTGGGAAAAATCCTGGGCCCCCTTTGGGCTGGGCCCTGAGTGTGAATTCTGCTTTGTCTTCCCTCCCTCTCCTTGCCATCCTCTCCCCCCACCCCACTCTTCCAGGGCTGCCCAGGCCAGTCCTCAGCTCCACGCCTGACCCCCAGCCGGCATCACGGAGGGCCCTCAGGAAGCCCGGGTGACCCTGTCCTGTCCCCTGGACGGGGCCTTCTGGATCCCCCGGCCTCCAGGTGCCCCCCCAAAGGGCTGCTTCGCCTGCGTGTCCAAGCCCCCAGCCCTGCAGCCTTCGGCAGCTCCCTCAGCAGCCGCACAGGGCCCGGCCCCCACCCTCTGTCCCATGGAGGCCAAGAGCTGCAAGGCTGACAGCGTCAGGACTGGCACGGGCTCGGGACCCGGCAAGCACTTGGCCGAGAAAAAGACCATGACCAACCCCACCACCGTCATCGAAATCTACCCTGACACCACGGAGGTCAATGACTATTATCTCTGGTCCATCTTCAACTTTGTCTACCTCAACTTCTGTTGTTTGGGCTTCATCGCTCTGGCCTACTCCCTGAAGGTGAGTGAGGGTCCAGGGCCTAGGAGGGGGCGGAGGCCGGGGCACTTGGCCTGTACGTGCCTCACGTCTGTGTGCCTGGATCGAGAAGAGCTTGAGAGGAAGGTGCGAGGATTGGGGGAGGGGGTGCCCCAGGCTGCCAGGGCCCTCCTTCAGCCAGAATGAGCACCAGACCCTTCCCTGGCCCTGTCTCTTGGTCCCCAGCTTACTCGGTGCCATGATGCCTGACGGCAGTGCAGGGCTTTCTGTCTGCTTCAGGCCGAGCCAGGGGCAGACTTGGCCACTGAGAGAGGCTCAGCAGGGCTGGATGTGGGGAGGGTCTGTGGGAAGGAAAGGTGAAGGATGCTCACAGCCCTGCGGTGGAGTGGAAAGAGCATCCTTCCTCCCCCCTGCCCCTGCCAGGAACACGGATCTGGACAAACATTTGGTCCTGGTTTCTATCTGGTTGTCTCAGGAAGGGTGAGGCCTTCCCCGATCCCTGGCCTGGCCTGGTCACAATGTCAGGACTCAGCCCCCTGAGTGGGCAGGGGGGGCAGCTGTGACAAAAGCAGCCCCCTCCTATGCCCTCTGGCCAGTCTGTAAGGGCTAGGCAAGGCAGGTGTCACCAGTTCCCTTTCCTTCTCAGGCAGATGAAAGCTGGAGTGGCAGCAGAGGGACTGATAGGGAGTGACCCTAAAAGGGTTGGCTTCCTAGTGAGACAGAAGTCAGGGCTTAGCAGGGAGTGAGGTGAAGGCCTAGAGATGGGCCTTAGGTGGGCTCCTGAGAAGGCTTTGTTCTCTAGGCTGGCTGGCTGAAAAGCAGGGAGCAGGCATTCAGAGCCAGGATAGGGCAAGAGGCTCTGCTAAACTCTGCTCCTGGGCTTGGGCCAGTAGGGAGCAGGCTAATGGGGCTATCAGCCACCCTTGCCCAGACCTGGTGGCAGGACAGAGGAGGCTGCAGTGGAGGCAGAATGTGGCACAAGGGAGGCAGGAGGAAAACCCAGGAGTCATAAAACATCAGAACACAGAACGTGCAATGTCAGAGCTAGAAGGGGCCATGGAGCACAGAACATGGGGCTTTCAGCTGATGGGAGGGCTTGGAACCCAGAACCCAGGACATCAGAGCTGGGAGAGACCTCCGAATACAGAACGTGGAATGTCAGAGCTAGAGGGAGGTCTTGGAACCCAGAACCCAGGACATCAGAGCTGGGAGGGACTTCTGAATACAGAACATGGAATGTCAGAGCTCGAGGGAGGGCTTGGAACCCAGAACCCAAGGAGTCAGAGCTGGGAAGGACCTCAGAACATAGAACGTGGAATGTCAGAGCTAGGAAGAGGGCTTTGAAGCCCAGGATGTCAGAACCGAGTGAGGCTTTCAAACCCAGCCCCTTGGGTCCCCTGGTGGTCTCTCTAGTCTGAGGGACTCTACATGTGAAGAAAGGGGCCCTCAGAGAGGTGGTCCCACAGCCCTAAGCACTGGTGGCAGGATTCTAACCCAGGGCTGGGCTGACTGTCCAGTGGTCAAGCAAGGCTGGTTGGTCACTTGCAGAGGATTTTCTGGCAAAGAATGGAAGGGATGTGTCCAGGTCATCCAAAGAGTTCGGACAATAAGGGCCGGAAGTCACATCTGAACCCCAAGGCTAGCCTTGGTGACCCCCTGACAGCCCCCAGCCAGAGGGTGAACAGCACAGGCATGAATGGAACATTCTGTCATCTCACCCATGACTCCTGGTGACCAGGAAGGGAGGAGGGAGCCAGAAGCCTCATGGGCCATTCACCAGCCCCAAGGAACAGTAAGCGGAGGCAGAGGGTCAGAGCTAAGTGAAGGCCCTGTCCAGAAGGGGAAGATGCCTGAGTCTGGATGGCTGGATGGTCTGCTCGTCAAGCTAGGCAGCAGTGCTGCTATTAGAACCCAGGCCCTTGGAGTGCCAGGGCTCTTGCCATGGTCTGGGCTGCAGTAGGGAGGCCTCTGGCGGAGCCCGAGGAAGACTTCTTGTGGCCACTGTCACTATCTCAAAGGGTAGCTAGAACATGATTCTGAGAGTATCCTGTGCATTGTGGGCTGGGGGACACAATGACCTTCTAGGCAGAAGATTCTGCCCTGGATCCTTAGCAGCTCAGACACTGCCTCCTCTTCCCATCCCCCCCATCCCTCTCAAGGACTGGGGGCCCACATGCCTTGGCTCAGAATGGCCCAGCTCATCACTTTTCCCTAGAACTGGACTGCCCAGGTTGCCAGCCCAGCTCCATAGCCCTAATGGTGCTCCCGCTTCATCTCCCTCCCATCACTGCATGTGTATGTGTATGGGGGGGAGGCGAGGGGGAAGGGAGCTGGAGACAGGAAGGAAGGGAGGGGACCACAGAGGGAGAAAAGAGCTGGCTTTATAGCCTGGAGGAGGGTAAGGCCAAAGACCCCTGGCTTCTCCCATCCACATCCCTTCAGCCTGGCCTGTCCCCACCTTCCTCAGTTTACCCAGACCTTTTCTTCCCCTCCCACACTGTCTTACCATCCACAAGGGCCCTGTGTGGGAGGCAGGATGGGGAGCACACCAGCTTGCTCCTCCTGCCTGGGGCAGGCTCTGAATTTGTCCATGATAACTACAGGGTCTTCTTCTGTCCATGGCCTGGTAGCATGAAGTTCCCAGGGATGGGCAGCACCTGGTACCAATGTCCCAAGGGGTCTGGCTCTACCACCAACTAGCTGTATGAACTTGGGCTCTCCCCTGACCCAGCTCCCCCAAGGGGGCAGTTCCTCAGGGCCTGAGTCTAAGCTCCTGTCAGGAAGGGGGACAGTGCCCAGAACCTGCCCTTCCTTCTCCAAAGAGTTTGTGCCAGGCAAGCTGGCTCAGACCAGGCAGGGTCCATCTGCTGGGCCAGGCACAGGTTGCCTGGCAGCCAGGGTTGTAGCTAGGTCACAGATGCCCGCATGGTGCAGGATTTGGGACAAGAAGGGGAGGCAAGAGGTTGGTGCTTATTTGGCGTGTAACCTGGACTCTCCAGAATGCCCCTACCCCAGGGGCATTTCTAGCCTCAGGTGTCCTTCCCCCACTGCCAGGAGCCAAGACCCCCCCAAGTGGCTAGCTGGCAGGACAGGGCCCCCAAGTTTGGCCCAGTTGACAGGGCAGGTGCATGTTATGGGATCCGTGAGAGTTCAGTATTGAACTGCCCCTAACCCTATCCATCCCTTTTTTTGAGGAAAGCCTGGACCCTCTTCAGGGCAGTCTCATAAAAGCCAATACTGTTCTACCTGCCCTGCCCCAGTCCCCAAGACTCTGGGACCCCAACCCTCCATAAAGCCAAGCAAAAAAACCCAGCTTGATTCAGTAAAAAGTACTCTTCATTTGGAGTCAAATCCTCCACCTCTCCCTTGCCTACTGTGTGACCTTAGGCAAGTGACCTCCACTCTCTGAGCCTCAATTTTCTCATTTGTGCACTGTGGGGTAGGGCTAGACAGTCTCTTGTGTGAATACCTACCATGCTTGGCTTGGTCTTTCTAGTCCTGGGCCTGTCAGTCCTGACTGGGTGACATGGGTTAACCCCTTGCCCTTCTCTGGCCTTCAGGTCCCACTCCTCCTGCAGCGCTCTGAGGTTCTGACTTTCTGGGAGCAGCCCAGCTTTGTGGCTCAGAAAGGGAGTGTGAGGAGGGCTGTGTGCTGTTCTCTGGCGCCACCTCGTGGCCACAGGAGGGCCCCTTCCCGTGAGGCAGGAGTTCCTGCAGCGTGGCAGGGAGAGCTGTCCAGCCCAAACTGGGACAATCTGCCTGGGCTTCTGGTACCTCGTCTGTAGACTGGGGAGAGGAATCGGGTGATGACTTCTTACAATCACCTCTTTACACTGAGGAAGCACCGGCTTAGGCACGTTAAGCTCCTTGAGCTAGGAGGCATGAGGCAGTGAGAAGGGCTAGCCTTGACCAGCATGGCCCCACAGGGCAGAACCAGGAGCAGCAGGGCGGACGAGGGTCGAAGCAAGAGGAAGCTTTCGAGGTGTTAGCCCTCTCACAACTAACAGGAATCTTGGCTGCACTACTATTTCTGGCCAACTAGGAAACAGCCCTTCCTCCCTGCTGGGATATTCCCTCTGGCTCTATTGGTAGAGAGGGAGCTGGAGGAGGCGTTAGGTGGGGGTAGCTGGATGGTACAGTGGATAGAGTGCTGCACTTGGCTTTATGGAAGACCAAGGGCTGCCTCAGATGCTTGCTAGCTGTGTGACACTGGGCAAGTCACTTTAACCACAGCCTGCCTCAGTTTCCCCATCTGTAAGATGGGGGGCCTAATAGCACTGGAGTGCCCAACCATTCAGGGTGGTTGTGAGAATCACGGGAAATCATGCATGTGAGGGCTGCGAGCTAGAGAAATATGAGCTCTTTCTAGAAGAAAGACTGCGCCTCCAGAGGCCAGGCCAGGGACTGTCTTTGAGGGGATGCTACTGGCTCCCTGAGTCAGACTCAAGGCCCTGGGAGTGGGGAGCTTGAATGAGGGGGAGCAGGTGTTCCTCAGCACCTCCCCATCAGTCCTCTAATGAGGTGTGCTGTCATCTCTAGAAGACCCGTGCTAAAAAGCAAAAATTTGGTTCTTCCCCCTTCTTCCCCCTTCCCCCCCCATCCTATCAAGTTTGCAGAGCCTTGGCATGACCACTTGGTGTCATGGACATGGAGTCGGGGGGTCTGGATTCAAATCTCAGCCCTGCTAGAGCAGGAGAAAGCTAGTACGTAGTTGCAAAGCCACTATCCCCTCCCCTCTCTGGGCCTCAGTTTTCTTATCTGCAAAATGAAGGGATTGTAACCCTGAGTCCTATGATCCCATACCAGGGAGGAGCTCTAGGGAGGATAGTGATGGGGCCAACCCAAGAGACCAAGACTGAGAGATTGAGAGCTAGAAGAGCATCTTAGAAGCCTCTGCATTCGATCTCTTCATGCTGATAGATGATGAAAGGGTGTCCCAGGAAGGGAGGGGAAGGGGCTGGCCCAAGTTTGTATAGTCAGTAACAGAATTGGGATTGGAAACCCTGGGCTGAGATCCCATAACCTGACAGCTCTGGGCTCAAGGAACTTGTTCCTTTCAAGGGCCAGCAAAGCCTGTTTGAAATAAGAAAGAGAACAGATGGGTAGCCACTCCTAGACCAGGAACATCTGGGGAGAGTGAAGACTACTGCAGGCCAGGCATGAACTGACAGCAGTGGTGGAGAGAGGGGGAGGGAGCAACGGACAGACAGAGAGACAGGAAGGCATATGGATGGACAGACAGACATATGGGCAGGCAGGCAGACAGGCAGGCAGAAAGGCAGAGGGACAGACAGGCAGGCAGGCAGGCAGATCAGGCAGACAGACAGATGGACAGAGGGACAGGTTGATGGATGGACAGACAGACAGACAGGTAGGCAGGTAGGCAGGCAGAGAGGCAGAGGGACAGACAGACAAGCAGACAGAAAGATAGATGTACAGACAGACAGACGAGCAGGCAGGCAGAAAGACAGATGGACAGACAGATGGACAGACAGACAGATGGGCAGGCAGACAGGAAGAAAGGCAGATCAGGCACACAGACAGGTAGAAAGACAGACAGACAAATGGACAAAGGGACAGGTTGATGGATGGACAGACAGACAGATAGATGGGTAGGCAGGCAGGCAGACAAATAGAGGAACAGGATGATGGATGTACAGACAGACAGGCAGAAAGACAGGTGGACAGACAGATAGGTAGAAAGACAGGCAGACAGATGGACAGATGGATTCACAGACAGGTAGACAGATAGACAAATAGAAAGGCAGTGGAGGAGGCTGCTTTTCCTCCCTAGCAGCTCAGGGGCTCAGCTCAGCAATCATTAGGAGAGGAGAGAAGCTGAAGGCCCAGGTGTGCCAGGCTTTGGGAGGGGCCATGGAAGCAGGCTCTAGCCCCGCCTGCCCACTTCCTTCTCATCCCACCTTCTGTGGTAGGGCCTCATTCTCTTCTTTTTTTGGTCTCAGGTTCGGGACAAGAAACTGCTGAATGATCTGAATGGGGCCGTGGAAGATGCCAAGACAGCTCGTCTCTTCAACATCACCAGCTCAGCTCTGGCCGCCTTCTGCCTAGTCCTCATCTTCATTTTCCTGCGGTACCCCCTCAATGACTACTGAGTCGGGGGGGGGCAGGAGGCTCTTGCTTCCTCCCCCTCCCCCATCCTGCTGACCTGAACTGTCAGGGGGAGAAGAGTGTTTGGCTTGGACATTTTTATGGGGGAATCAATCATTTAAAATATTTATTTTCAATATAAAAGGGATAGGGTGGGAAGGGAGTGGAAAGGGTAGGGAAATCGAGGGTTGGACAGCTTGGGGAAGTAAGAATGGGGTGGGAGCCTCCTTGAATCCTCTATGTGGCTCCCAGGCCTGCTGAGTCCAGGCCAAACCAGGGCTCAGGGCCACCAGGATGTACTGGAAAATGAGAGGAGAGGATGAGATGGGCTATAGAGGGCTATGCCTTCTGTCCCACCCACTATACAGGGCCCTCCCCAGCCCAAGACCTCACCCCAACCTTCTCCTTGGGCTAGTGCTTCAGCTACACCTGCAACCCCAGCGATCAACAGCCTGGCCTGCCAGCGCTTTCGCTCCCCAGTCCTCGAATCTCCCCTGCCACCTCCTAAGGGCACAGCCCCAGCCCCAGGCCACAGCTTCAGTGGGGCAGGGCAGGATGGTAGTTACTACTGGTTGCTCAGGTTGCCTGCCCACCAGTCTCACCCCAGCCCTTCACCCTGCTTAGAGCTACTGAGAATGGGCATCTTTCCAATGAAACTCCTCTGCCCAGCTCCCCAAGATCCAAATTTCCAGGGTTGGGCTGGAGATGAGGGGGTGTGAGAGCTCCCAAGGTCTAGTCCTGGCTCACATCTCCTTCCCAGCCTTCAGGACGCCTCCCATGTCTTTGAAGTCATCCGATGAATCTGATGGATGTGCTTGGGAGGGGAGGAAGGGTGCGGGGCTGGTGATGGGCTCCCCATCTGATCGTCAAGGAAACAGGTGCCCAAAGGGGGAGTGTCTTTGCTGGGCTCACCCGGCTAATTAGAGTGCTCTAATTACTAATAACAAATCAAAGATTTACAGAGCATTTACTGGGTGCCCTGGCCTTCACCAAGTGCTGTGGGCAGAGTGGCTCCTGCCAAGAGGAGCTACAAATCTGCTTGGGGAGACCAGACTCACATAAAGGACGAACCAGGCTGGAAGGTTGTTGTGACCTATTGTTACCATACTCAAACACTGTGACTTGAAATTCTGTGTGTGTGTGTGTGTGTGTGTCTGTCTGTTCATGCCTGTTCCTCTGTGTCTGCCTGGCTGGCTCATTGCTTCTCCAACTGGCCACTGCTTGGGCTCTGTCCTGCTGTCTTTGTGAGCATACTGCTCTCCTCCTGTGTTTGTTTTTTTGCGAGCACAACTGGGGTCAGAAGGGCACTGATTTTGTAGCAAGAAGACTTGGCTCACACTTACTAGCACTGTGACCTTGGACAAGTTCTTGCCTTCCCCCAGGTCTCAGGTTCTTCCTCTGTCCAGAGAGGGTGGTCAGGGTTCCATGGTCCCTCCCAGTTAAGACAAGTCTATGACTGAGTTTGACAGTCCATCAAGGGCATGAGGTAAATAACGAAACAGAGATAATTCACCATCTAAAGAAAAGCAAGCCCCCAGGTCCTGGGGAGACTGCTCAGTTCAGCTTTACTAACCCACCTTTGGGAGCCAAGACAGGATGGAGGAGCAGCAGCAGCCCTCTCCCTCTGCTGCCTGTTTTTCCCCACTCTGAACCCAGAATTTCATCTGCCTGAGCCCCCAGGAAACCCTCATGCCTCTGTCTGGGATGCTGGCTGATCCTAGGGAGAGGAGTGTTGGGGGGATGATGAACGCATTGGACAGGGCCTGAAGGTCAAAGGAAGAGGAAGGAGCTTGGGGCTAGCTGACTCCTGGGGAGACACCTCTGTCCTGCTGAAGCCACCAGTGCTGTCACAAAGAGCAGAGGCCAACCTCCCTGTAGGGACAAACCGAAACTGAGGGGGCAATGGGGCAGCATCCCCCGTCGCTGGGCTGGGGACAGCCAGGTTGGCAGTAGCAGCCCCCCAGCTGGAACGAGGGCAGCTCCCAGTTCTGGAAGATCGGAAGCAATGGGTGTAGGTCTATGGATGGGGTGCGCAGGGCCAGCCTGAGCTCGAGCGTGGATGGGGCAGACGTAGCACTTTGATGGTGAGGTTGGCGTTGGGTTGTGGAGCCACCCAGCAGGCAGGCAAACGAACCACATCAACGGCATTCCCAGCCTCCTGAGGCAGGTCTCCCAGCTAGGTCCCAGCCTTGCCCTTGGCCTGGGTCATTGCCCCACACCACCCCTTCCTCTGCTGGCCAGCTCCCACCGCTGTCATGCTCCAAAGGGCCCCTTTTCCCGGTCCTTCCCATAGACCTCTCCTGAGATATCTCCTCAGTTTGGAGGAGGGAGAGGAACGCAGCTCAGGCTTCTGCCAGCCTGGTGTGATCCATCTCTGAGCTGAGAGCCAGGGCACTTGGCTTTGCATCTTGGCTCTGCCACCCATTAACCATATGACCTTGGGTCAGTTCTTTCCCCTCTATAGGCCTCAGTTTCCCCACTGATTGTTCCCTCATTTCCCTAGGCTGGGCTCAGAGGGTGGAGTGGGAGCCCGGGTGAAGGAGGAAGGAGCAGGTACCCCCCTTTGTGGGTTCTGAGCCATCAGGACCGCGGATGGCTGTCAGGTGAGGCCTGGATTAATACAGCAGCTCTGGGGCTCTTCATGGGGTCACAGGTCCCACAGCCAAGGGGCTGTTTGCCCGTCTCTGGATTACACTGAGCCGCAGCAGCATTCAGGGAAGTGGCCTGAGCAGCCCACAAGCTGGAGGGAGGCCCAGGACGGCCACCTCCTTCAAGGCCTGGTGCAGCGGGCCCCCCGCCCCAGGAAGCCTGCTGTTCATCTGCTCTTGAAAGTGGTTGCTCCCTGCCTGGGCTCTCCCAGCTGTCCAAAGGCACGGTGCTGCTTTGCTCTCTCTGCTCACACCTCTCCCCCAATTAGACGAGCGCTCATGGACAGGGCCTATGAACTGTCTGTCTTTGTAACCGAACCTCTTGTGTGGCAAAGGGCCTTGCACACACTTGGTGACTAATAAATGTTTATCTAACTGAATGGAATGGAGCCTCTCTGTCCCACAGTGGAGACAGTGAACGGCACATGTTGGAGCATCTGGGGGCCCTGAGAATGTCTCTAAACAGGGTAATGTACATAGAGCGACCAGGTAGGGGCTTCTTCAGGCTGCAAAGTCCTGTCTGCCCTGCTCCCCAGCACCCTGAATCCCACTCCTCTGCCTTACCCCAACAGCTCTGTTCAGGCCCTGCCAACCCTGTGCAGCCAGGGACCCCTCACCCCTTCCCAAGATTAGCTGGTATACAGGACCCAGACCGAGGTGGGAGATAGTTGATGCCCTCCTGGGGAGGTGCTGAGGCTGAAGATCTGCTTCCCTTTCTCCTCGCTTACTGAGGATGCCCCTTCCCCCACTTCACCTTCTCAGTGACCTGGCTTAGCACCAGGGGCCTGGGGAAGAAGGTGGAACTCATTGGAATCCATTATTTAGGGGCCTCCTGTAGGTCTTTTATGTGGTTTTCCTTAGGCCAAAAGAGCCAAATTGTAAGAACACTCCCTTTAGCTGCTGCCAGAGAGTGAAGCCCCCAAGACTGAGCCCAGGCTCCAGAAAAGAACAGCACGGGCCCCTGGCCAGGGAGCAAAGAAGGGCCCCAGGGTATGTCACAAGCCTGCCTCAGATACTTGGCTTCCCCAAAGGCAGGTTAATATAAAGTGGGTAGGTTTTGTCCTTTCTTACACCCCTCTTTATAAAGGCCACGCAGCTGCCAGAACAAGCCTGAGGGCTCTGCCCTGCCCCTCTTGTCCTGGGGTTCTTCACAGGGGGCAGCTACATGGTGACACAGACCACAGAGGCTGGGGCCTGAAGTCAGGAGGACATTTTGATCATCACCCTGGAGAAGTCACTCAGTATCAGTGAAACCCAACAGGAAGGAGCAAAATGGGACAGTTCTGAGCCAATATCCCACAATGTTCTATGTGCCAGGCCAACACCCCAAGACCACAGAATGAGACTGCTTTGAATCTACTGATAGGACACAGATCACCCAAAGGATTTATTGAAAAAGGAGACATTGTCAGGATTAAGGATGGTTTTATTGAAAAGAGATGATTGTCCAGGCTCCCAGGAATGGGAACAGATGCCCAAGATAGGCTAGAGGACACTTTCGAGGAGAAAGCCTAGGAGTCAGGGAATGGGGGCTGTGGCTGGGTAGCTCAGGAATCTCCAGCAATGTCCCAGCATGTGGGGACAGGGCAGATGATCCTTTGGAGAAGACCCAGAGGTTTTCCTGGGTGTCTGGGTGGTGTGCTGGTGTGTTCCTTTGCCGTGTGATGTCCCCTTGGCCAGGGAGGATGAGGGATCGGGAAGGCTCCTGTGTCAGGGCAGCTTCATGGGTAACTGTGCAGAGAAGCGGCAAACCAGACATCATGGTTCCCTCATGGAGTAGGGGACTGGAAAATCAGCCAGGATGCTGAGGAATGAGCAGTGTTGGAGGGAGCTGGGAATGCAGGATGGGTCTTGTTGAATGCAGTGTTTTCCCAGCTCTCTCATGTGCAGACCAAGGGGTGAGTATCAGATCTTGCACTGGCAGCAAACATGGATACATCAGTTGAAATGGCAGCAGCAGAGCTTGCAGCAGCTGGACTGGCAGCAGCAGGGCTTGCAGCAGCTGGACTGACAGCAGCAGGGCTTGCAGCAGCTGGACTGGCAGCAGCCCCCACAGCCTCCACCAGAGCCTCCACCACAGCTGGAGCAGCAGCAAGCTGGCACACAGCAGCAGACAGGCTTGCAGCGGCTGGACTGGCAGCAGCCCCCGCAGCCAGAGCCGCAGCTGGACTGACAGCAGCCCCCGCAGCCAGAGCCACAGCTGGACTGACAGCAGCCCCCGCAGCCAGAGCCACAGCCTCCCTTGCAGCCCCCACCGCTGGAGCCACAGCCTCCCTTGCAGCCTCCACAGCTGGAGCCACATCCCCCCTTGCATCCCCACAGCTGGAGCCACAGCCTCCCTTGCAGCCCCCACAGCTGGAGCCACAGCCTCCCTTGCCACCTCCACCACAGCTGGAGCAGGAGCAGGCTGGCACACAGCAGCACACGGTTTGCAGCAGCAGACGGGCACACAGCAGCTGGAGCCACAGCCTCCTGAACAGCCAGAGCAGCCCATGGTGCTGGGAGGTTGGAGGAACCTGGTGTACACAGGGGTGGAAGGTCTCAAGAGAGAGAGAGAGGGGTCAGTGGGTTGTGGCAGCCCCTGTCTGCACCCAGCTTTTATCCTGTGGTGCAGCCGCAGGGCTGGCTCTGGGCACATGCTCACTTGCCCCTCACTCTGAACCCCTGCAGGAGCAAGAGCCAGCCCCTGCCAGTTGTTGTTGTTGGACCCTGGCCCCTGGTTTGTTTTGGGCAGACCTTGTGGCCATGACTCACCTGGAAGCATCAGGCTGCCTTGATTGGCCAATGGGGTTGTTTGGCTCTGGTCACAGTGACCTTGGGATCTGGATGCTCAGGAAAGGAGCCTTCAGGCTCCCCCAGTTCAACCCCAGCTAAGAAGATGATGCAGAGAACCCCAAAGCCATGGAAGAAGCAGGCAATTCCTGGAGATCTGAGGGCAGGGGAGAGTAAGCATGTGCATGGTAGAACATGGCTGTTGAACCCCACACACATGGCCCAAGTCAACAGGCTGAGAGAGTAGTCATGCCCAAGGCAGGGCTGAGAAAGTGCTGCAGATGAGGCAAAAGACCCAGAGGACCTTGCTTCAAAGAGGAAGGTGGAAGACCTCAGGTGGGTGTCAACAGAGCAAGTGGTTTCCATGTCTGCTGGAGGGAGGGGGAAAGATGGGGAGCGTTGTGACCCTACATCCTGGCATTCACGGAGGGTGGAGGAAAGCAGGGGAGGCTTGGGGTTAACCGGGGCAGTGAAGGGGATAAAATCTGGATGGAGGAGGAAGACTGTGATCATCTCAAAAGAAAAAGTTCTGGAGTCCAGCAACTTTCCCTCTTTGGTCCATGGATCCCCTTGGCCCTAATCCAGGGGCTGGCAAGGGTCAGGTGACTGATTGTGGTTATTTTTAACAATAATATTTTATTTTTCCCCAATTACATGCAAAACAATTTTTAACACCTCTTCTTTAAGTTTCGAGTTCCAAATTCTATTCCTTCCTTATTTCCCTCTCATGTCCCTGAGGAGGTAAGCAATCTACTACAGGATATACATGTGTACTATTTCTGTACTAATCATTTTGTCCAAGAAAACCTGAGCAGGAAAGAACAACAGAGAGAGAGAGAGGGAGAGAGAGAGAGAGAGAGAGAGAGAGAGAGAGAGAGAGAGAGAGAAGAAAGAGAGAAAGAAAGAGAAAAGAAGGAAGGAAAGAGTATAGGAATGAAGGCAGGAAGACCAAAAGATCAAAAAAGAGAAAGAAAGAAAGAAAGAAAGAAAGAAAGAAAGAAAGAAAGAAAGAAAGAAAGAAAGAAAGAAAGAAAGAAAGAAAGAAAGAAAGAAAGAAAGAAAAAAGAAAGAAAGAGAGAAAGGGAGAAAGAGAGAAAGGAAGAAAGAGAGAAAGGAAGACTGAAGGAGAAAGAAAAGAAGAATGTAAAGAAAGAGAAAAATGAAGAAATGAAGAAAGGAAAGAAGGAAGAAAGGACAAAAGAAGGAAAGTAATGAGGTCTTTCTTCGTATGCCAGGAGTCCTTTCTTTTGTGGTGGATAGCATTTTACATCTTGAGTCCTTTGGAATTCTCTTGGATCATTGTGTTGGTGAGAACAAGTAAGTCATTCTCAGTTGTTCATCCTACCCTAATGCTGTTACTGTTTCAAAAACTCTCCTGGTTCTGCTCCCTTCACTTTGTATCTGTTCGTGGTTGTCTTTCCAGGTTTTTCTGAAATCATCCTGCTGGTTAGTTCTCATAGCACAATAACAGTCCATCACAATCATATACTACAAGTTGGTCAGCCATTCCCCAGGGATGTGTGTTCCTTTAATTTCTACTTCTCAACCCCCACAAAAAGAGCTGGTACAAATATTTGGTACAAACAGGTTCTTCCACCCCACCCCCCCTTCTTTAATCTTGTTGGACTATAGACCAAGTAGTGGTGTTGCTACCTTAAAGAGTTTTGTTGCCCCTTGGACATAGTTCCAAATTTCTCTCCAGAATAATTAGGGCAACTCACAACTCCACTCACTGTCCATTGTGTCCAAGTTTTCCTTTATCTCCTCCAGCCGTTGCCATTTTCCCTTTTTGTCTTAGGATCCAATCTGATGGGTGTGTGGTGGTACTTCAGAGGTGTGTCAATTGTGTTTTTCTAATCAATACTGATTTACAGCGCTTTGTTTTAAGATTTTAGAGAGCTTTGCTTTCCTTCTCTGAAAACTGTTTCTTCATGTCCTTTGATCATTTATCAACTGAGGAATGACTAGCATTCTTATGAATTTGACACAGTTCTCTATCTGTTTGAGAAATGAAGTCTTTATCAAAGAAAGCTGATGCAAACATTTCCCCCAGTTTTCTGCTTTCTTTCTACTTTTGGTTGAATTCATTTTGTTTGTGCAATAACGATTCAATTTTATGTAATCAAAATTATCTATTTTGCATTTCAAGATGCTCTCTATATCTTGCTTACTTCTAAATTTGTTCCTTCTCCATATATCTGACAGGTAACTATCCCATGCTGTCTTTATTGCGCATGGTACCATCCTCTATGTCAAAATGATGTACCCATTTGGACCTCATCTTGGTATATGGTGTCTATACCGTGTGTCTATACCTAGTTTCTGCCCTACGGTTTCCCACGTATCCCAGCAGTTTTTTGTCAAAGAATGAGTTTTGATCTCCAAAGCCTGGGTCTTTGCCTTTATCAAACACTAACACACTAGTGTCCCTTACTACTACCTGTCCCTACTCTAGTCCACTGATCCACCGCTATATTTCTTAGAGGTAAGAGATTGTTTGTATGCTTGCCATGTTGTGATACATTTTGACACCTGCTACCATTGGATTCATTGGGTCCTGAAGGCTATTGTATCCCTCCACTCCCTGGGAGGACCCTCCCTGTATACC